CCAGTAGTGTGTGCTTGTAGTCCAGAAAGCCAATTGCCTCCTGGGCTGCATAAAAAGATGCTGGCAGGTTGAGAGACGCAGGTAATTCTATCCCCCTACTTTGCTCTGGTGAGATGTTATCTGGAGTACTGTGTCCAGCTCTGGGGTCTTCACCACATGAAAGACATGGACCCGTTGGAGCAAGTCCAGGGAAGGGCCACATGAATGATCAGAGGACTAAAACATCTATCCTCTGAAGAAAGGCTGAGAGAGTTGAGATTGTTCTGCAAGGAGAAGGCTCCAGGGACTCTTACTGCAGCCCTTCAATATATGAAGGGGTCTTGTAAGAAAGATGGAGAGAGAATTTTTACCAAGGCCTGTAGCGACAGGACACAGAGATCCAAGAACTAAAAGAGAGAGAGAGAGAGAGAAAAAAAACATGAAGAAAACCTGGTAAAAAGAAGTCATCCAGACAGACTCGAAATCATTGCAACAAAACAAAAGTACAATACAGAATCAATACTATTTATATTACTGTCACTTACCATATTTCATCCATATTTAATTAACTTGCAACAATCTAGTAGTATTGAAGTGGAACATTTTCACATCAAAATTTTTATCATCTTTCTACAGTGATGACTGGAAATTATTGAAACATATTTTAAAATAAGCATCATAATACATGAGTCAACCACTGATCAAAAACCAACGAGTCCTACAAGTGTTTTGCTTTAAATTGTTTCTAGATTTAGATGAAATGCAAAACAGGATGGATATTTTAAGCAGTTTCAAGATTCACTGAAGTGATTTACAGGAAGATTACGTGCAAGGCAACTCAGCATCATTTGCTGTGAAAGTGTAGCTATTATACAAAAAAGATAACTGAGGTTCACAAGAAAACTACCAGAAAAATCATCCAAAACACCTGTGTGACCCTGTGCCAGTTTAAACCTTACATAAAAGAGAAGTTTTGCAAATGAATTTTTTTAGAAAACAACTTTTGAATGCATTTTCACAAAACTAGTCAGAATTGTGCACATGCTGCTATGTCAAGAGTGTATTAGCATAAATTCAGCCATATTTTACCTTTCCAGTGGGTGGCATCAAAAGTGCCATCAGCTTATGCTGTATGAAACAAGTATTCCATTCAAAAAAATTAGAGGAAGACAAGGTGGTCTGTCACACAGTCCTACTTAAAATGCTGTGTATCACAGTCCAACCCCTTAGTTAACTGGCATGTGCTGTGGCTGCACACATCCTGTTAAAATGAATGTCCAATCCTTTAAGCACCATCAGCAACTTACTATAGAACCGAGACCCAAAATTCATATTTAAAAACAGTACATTAATTTGTTGCACCTTTATTCAGACAATATAAGTCAGCATCTAGTCAGTATCACTCTGTGATGTTAAGGATTACAATAGATTAAATGAGCTAGCACATCTGTGAGACCATTATAACTGCTCAGTGTCTTTACAGGTACTCAGTATCATCAGGCTGTGTGTTGGAATGGGTTAAAAGCAGAAGAGGATTGTAAGCCGCTCAAGTGACCTTGCAGCTGGGAATAACTCTTGATGAGTCTGTGTGAACAGCAGCCCAGTGATCCTCTAGCATGGACTGAGTTTATGGATCTCTAACATGCTGCCTGTTCTCTGCTTGTGTACCTCTGCCTGGGTGTTGCATCAGGGATCCCCTGGTTAGCAAGGTAATGGAAATAAATTTACTCTTTGCATTCTAGCTGCGAGTTTGTGGTTGTTTCAGCTGCCTGCCTGTGTCAACTCACACACTGTGATGGGCCAAGTAGATACTAATTCATTTCTGAGACTGTAATATAATTTAATAGCAGAAGTTAGACTTGTGTAGCTTAGTCTGACATACCTTACAATTTTCATGTTTTTTGTGAAAGAACATTAGCTTTTCCTTCTTTGATATTTACTGCTGAATATGCCTCTTCTAAGATCAACAACTGTACCCCATAGAATTTGCAGAATGATGTACAGGATTAATAGTGTCTAATTTGAAGGAGAAAAGTACAGTGTAATACAAAGAGATATTTCCACAGTCCACTTACTTAATGGTGCTGGAGAACACAGGTGCAACCTATGAAGACTTTAAGGTAGCCATTGGCAACTTAAACCAACAGGAAAGACACCTACTGAATGTTCCTGAGGAAAAGCACATTTAAGAGCTACAATCGTCTGCTTGTTCCTGAGGATGCAAGTCCGCCACTGGCAATGGTAACAACTTATAAGGATATGAAAACACATATGCATGTGCAAAATGTAATCCATTTTCAAATAACCAGAGTGCACTAATACCTGTATTTTTCTGCAGCATAGCAGATGCTATCAGATAGAAGTGCCTTCTACCCAGAAACTGCTCCAGAGGTGCTCTGTGAGGCCTCAAGCTTTTAGTGCTTGTTTGCTTTCCAGTATGCCTGGGGCAGAAGGGACTTTTAAGAATGGACATTTTGTCACATCAGACATGCTGCAAGAGACCTGCGACATTCACTTTTCCATGCATCTAACCAACAGATGACCCTACACTAGGCTCTGTTCCACCTACCTTCTGCCTAGAGACCCTCCTGGGAAAGAGGAGAATGTTCCTGTTATTAACTTCCATGAGGAATAAGTACTTGGCAAAAGGCAGCAGTGCTCTTACCAGTAGTGACTAGTTCAGAGGATTTTTCAGCTTCATATGGTCAGTCTCACAGGTAAGTCAGCCCTTAGAGAGCAGTAAGGGATCTCTTGGAAAAGCTGCACAGCTTGCACACTCTTTCCAGTGCCCAGTGTATTTCACAATTACACTGAGTTTGCACCCCAGCTGGTCTGTGATGAATTACACGTCTGCTCAGTGTGCTATTTTTGACTCGCTGTGCTATCCTGTGCTACCCCAATGTAGGAAGACAGACACAGCCCTGCTGGTTTGAAGACAGACCAGATCATGGTCTTTGCCAAGGTCCTGTTTATCTAGTGGGACGTGTCTAAGATCTGGGCTGCCAATGAAACAACAATTTAGCAAATCTCTCAGGCTGATCAGGGATCACAGGGGTTCTGTCTTGCAGGCTTTCCTCCTGCAGTTCAAATAAGTAATAATAAAAAAAAACCCTCTATATTTGTACTATTTGCACTTTCTTTTCACTCCTAGCAGGATGTTGGTGCTTGACACTTTGACCGCCTAGCAAATCTACTGATCTTATTTTTCATTTTGGTTAACCTGTACAGACAGAAACCATAATAACCATGAAACTTAGTTACCACAAAACAAAAAGCATTTGATCCTGTATTTCACACTCTAGCAGACAAAAGCAATACTGACACCATTTCTTCATTTTACGTGCCCACTTTTTCTGGAAGCTATTTTAACCAGTTTTCCAATGGCCTAGACTATGTCAGTCGTGAAGTACTAGGCCTGACTGCACTCCTGTACGTTGACAGGTCACTGCCAAGTGGACAATCTGCAAGGTAAATCAGAAAAAACTGGATTCCAATAGCCACTATTTGTCTTATAAACTCGGATGACAAAGACAGTAAATATTTCACGTACCAATACAACATTCAAATGAAGAGTTGTGTTAACCAGTGAACAAGACTCTAAATAAAAACCTTCCATACTCTTAATTTTTCCCATTCAGAACCCTTAGTGTCCAATATGGTTATGTGCTATCATCAAATTACTGAATATCTGTGTTAATCAAACTAATATTTATATTGATACCAAAACCAGGCAGGATCAGGATCACAATCTTGACAAGATCCAGACAGCTTTAACTTTGTTCAGTCAGGTCTCACTCAGACAGATAAGCTGAAGAACTGCTACTGTACCAGCCACTGTATTTTCAAAATAACTGGCTTGGCAGTTGAGCTGAAGAAAGGTAGTTACTCACAGGCTACAACTTCGCAATGTAGAACACTGCAGGTCTTTAATGCATTTTTCCAACCCACAGACCACTTACAAATGCCAATCTAGATGCATCAATATTCTTTCAAGCAACACAATGTCTACTCAGTCCCCCAAAATTGTGGAATTTGTACTTTAAGCTTGCACTTCAAGACCTCGAAGATATTTGCTTATCACAAGCTACTGCTACTCCTTTACAGTGTAACTGCTGCGCATTGAACTTAGCAGTCCTTTATGCTTACAAACTACTCATTTGCGGATCAGAGGTTCTGTAAAATACAAAACAATTGTTCCACGAGCCAATGGGCAGCTGTGATTTGCCCAAGCACGGGGTAAGACAAGCAGTTCGAGAACAGAGGTTTTAGCACCGTCTTGTTAGATCTTAAATGTCCACCAGATAAAGCATTTGGACAACCATCGTCAGAAATTAATTATACCGTGACACCTTCCCGTGTGATTACGGCGCTACCGATGTGCTCGCTGTGCCAGACAACCCTGACCCCTACGGGAGCTCCCGGGGGGAAGCAGTGCTGTCACAGTCGAACATGGCAATAAGTTACTTAAATTCTCCTTTAAGTATTTAAGAATTATTTAAGCAGCCCTAGCGGACCCTTCAGAGCCCTCCCGCACTGGGGAAGCCCCGCCCCACCGCACGCGGCGCGCCTTCATAGGCTGCCGCTGCCTTCTGGCCCCGCCCCCTGGCGCCAACCCGCCAATCCCGAAGGGCGATGTGGCTACTCGCGCTCGGGGGGCGGGGCCACCGCGTCCCTCCCACCTCCCCACCCGCCCCCGCCCCCGGAGCGGCCACATGCTCCCCGCGTGGCGGTCCGCGGTTGGCGGCGCAGCGGCGGCCAATGGCTGGGCGGCACCTCAGAGCCCCCGGGCGGTTCTAAGGCGCGGCGGTGCGGGCGCTTCTCCGCCACTGCTCCAGTCGGTCGCGCCTGTGTCCCGCCTCGCCGCTGCCGGGCGTCCCCGGGGGCACCCCCGCCAGTCCCGCGAGACCCGCGCACCCCGCTCCGGAGCCCCTCGTGACGTTCGGCGATTGGCGGCCGTGCGGCGCGCGTGGAGGGGCGGCAGCCAATCACCGTGCGTGGCGTGCCCGGAGGGCGGAGCGTGGGGAGCGCAGGGAGCGGACGGGAGCGGGCCGGGAGCAGCGGCGAGATCGGGGTCAGGATGAGGGTGCGCAGGCTGTGGGTGCTGGTGCTGCTGCTCGGGCTGGCTCACATCGCCCTCCTGGCGCGGGGCGCGGCGGCCCAGGAGGAGGAGGACGGAGACGGAGGTGAGCGCGGGCCGGGGCCGGGCTGGCGGCGCATCCTGGATCCCCCGCGGGAGGCGGGGGCGCGGCCCCGCCGCTGGGCGCTGCGGGGAACCTGGGCTGGCAGGGCCCCGCTGGGGCCAGAATGCTTCTTCGGGCCTCTGGGCAGGGCGATGAGCCACCACATGAAGGCGCTAAGGTCTGGGCGAGCCGCTTGTCCCAGCGCCGTGGGGCGGCTCTGCCTCGCCTCTTCCAAGCACGGAGTTAATAGCTGTCTAACGATTAGCCATGTTGGAAATCCCTGGCTTTTAAATCACCGGGAAATTTGCGATTTCATTGTTTCGACTCGTTATTCCGACTCGTTGCGATTTCATTATCCGGAGATGGACTCTTTGTCAGGAGCTGTAGTGATAGGATAGGGAGTAATGGGTACAAATTGAAAGAGGGGAAATTTAGGTTAGATATTAGAAAGAAATTCTTTACAGTGAGGATGGTGAGACACTGGAACAGGTTGCCCAGAGAGGTTGTGGATGCCCCATCCCTGGCAGTGTTCAAGGCCAGTTTGTGGTCTAGTTGAAGATGCCCTTGCCCATGGCAGAGGGATTGGGACTAGATGATCTTTAAGGTCCATTCCAACCTTAACATCCTGTGATTCTATGGCTGAGCACTCTTTTCCTTATCCCTGATAAGATGCACAGATGCCCTGTTCAGGGCATCTGTGCATTCTGCGTGTTTCAGACTGATGGGGTTGTTGTTTTTTTTCCACAGAAGGAAGGCCCAGTGTTGCCAGTTGCTTGCTGTTTCTTCCCATTGTCTTTGAATTTCACTGACGTGTGTCTCTTCCAAAATTAGCTGAAACAAAGCTGCTCAGGCTTATTGAGTTTAGTATGTGCCTGAAAGTAGGAGGCAGGCATTTGAAGGTTTTCTTTTTTTAGTTTTAAGTTTCTCTCATGTGAATTTTGTTAAATCCTGCATCTTTCATATTTCTTGTATGTTAAGTATTAGAGGGCGTTTGGGGAGACTGGATTATGGATGACCTTCTGAACTCATGTCCTGCAAATTCTTGCTCACTGAACAGGCACTAAAACTCCAAGAAGTGCATATAAAACAGTTACCTTATCTGTGTAATTAACTGTATGTAGGATGAGGATCAAGAAACTTGTTTTAAAGGATATGGAGTCTGCAGAAAGGAGATGGCGATACAGAATCTTCCTGTGAAGCACTTTTTTTTTTTTTTTAGTTGCAAACTGAAATACAAGTATTGTGTCTATTTCTCCACTTTTAGCTCGAACACTTGATTATGCTCGCTTTGTAGCATGTGACAAAGCGAAGTACTGATTTTCTCTACAACCTTCATAGAACGAAGTAACGCCTGTGATGTTACAGTGTTACCTGTGGCTGACAGCGGTAGCTCAGCTTCCTGTGGGCCGGGCTCTCAGGCTCTCATCAGTATTTCCCACGTGTGCTGTTCTTCTCATATGAGTTCTCTGGATCAAAGGTGCATGGTGATGGAAGTCTTTCCTGCTGTGTGGAAGCTGAGCACTAATCCGTTGCACAACTTGAATCGTTTTCTGGTTTCTATTGTGTATCTAGAAATTGTATATAGATCATGAATAGGCTTTTCAAAGCCTTTGCATTAAAAATGCACATAGTTGGGGATTTTCATTTTTGCTCTCAGAATGCAGATGTGTATGAAGTGTAATAAGTTTACTTTGCAACAACCAAGTGATTTTATGTATATTGATTGTGCAGGAGATGAAAAGTTCAGATTAAACCCGGCTTGTTGTACTGCATGGTTTGGGAAGTGAAGTTCAACTAGGACAGTGAGGCAAATATGCTCAAAGTAAGGTTAGCCTGGATTGTGACTGTTACACCCTTAGCATCCTGATGGAGGAAAAGGAGGAATCGTGTAGAGGATCGACTACAGAAAAGCTTGAGGATTGATTTTGTTGAAAGACTTTTGAGTGCCCTAGCAACAGATTATGAGTCTTAACTTCTGGGTTTCTGAAAACTGAGCTCATCCAATTGGGGAACTGCGCTCCTCAGAAGAAAACTTTCAGGCAGAATCCTGAAGTTGTTGATGTCTGGATGCAGCTTTATTTGTATGGGATTTACTTTACTTAAGAAAAAGTTACTAGGCCAGATTTATGATAAATGCTGAGTGTACAGCGAAGTTACTGGAAGAATTAATTTCACTTAGAGTAGCTGTCATCCTGAAGGTCTGCCAGCCAGTATCATGTACTTCAAGTCTTAAAATAAATACCATTTTGATCATGTTTTTTGACTTGCGTAGTAATGTGTTGAAATTTGTGGAAGTGATTTTTTTCGAGTAAAAGGGAGTAATCCATATTTTAATGGAGGGCAGGTTTTAGCCACAGCTGCCTCATGTTGGCTTGTCCACCTGCTTTGTAAGTATCTTTAAGAAATAAAGACACTTCAGTTTCGGGGCAGCTGTTTTATTTTCATGAGCTGTCTTGTGCAAGTATTTATTAGCTACTTCTGCTATTTCAGGTGTCACAGTAAGACTCATTCTGCATCTGTTCTCTTTAAATTGTAAATCATTAATGCAGAGGCAAGTTTCTTGCTCTTAATGAAAAGATGTCCCGCTTGCTACTCCCGTGCTTGGTCAGGTCCCTGAAGCAGTTCTTTCAGTCCCAATAGTAAAGGAGGTGTTAGAGGTAGCTATGATAGAGTTTGCACACTTAAGGACCAGTTTATAGGTGTGGTTAACTTTTTTTTAATGCATGCCCTCCTCCCACTTGGGAAAAGGTGGAGTCCTGCTGTTACACTGCTATTGTCCTGCCTCCATCTCCAAGGAGGAGGAAGTGGGTGTGTATAATGCCCATGACAATGTGTCACTGTCAAGGAAGTTTTATGTTGGCAGGCTGTGCAGCCACTTGCAGGGAAAGATACAAAATTATTTCAGTGATGGATGTTGGATCTAATGGTTACATTTTCCACTTGTGCAGGATGTTTTTGCAGGTGATGCTTTTTTCTTGGTTTTCTAAACCATGAGCCTGTGCTACAGTAGCTGCAGTGGCCTTTGTTGGGGGCAGGTAGTTAGCATAGTAAGCAGGAATGAGGGTCACAACCTGGTGGTTAGTTTGAGAAGCATGACCGGAATTGGCCAGCTAGTTTTGCTCAAATTCCTTTGTGTCAGGGAAAACCAAGTCTGAAGCAATTTGCATGGAAAAGCAACGGCATTGCACAACTTTCGGGAAGTTCAGGCACAGACTGACCAGGAACACTATGTGGTGAAACATAGCCCTCAAAGCTGCTGGGCATCCATGTAAGGCAGAAGTTTTGCCTGCTAAAACCCCCTGAAAACCAGCTGTTTCACCAGGGTAGTCCTGTAGGTATGTGACTTCCCTCAAGTGTGAGCAAGTGCTGCAACACAGGAGGCATTGTCTGCTGGCAAAAAGAGCTTTTAGCTGCTTCAAAGATCAGATGAAACAGGAAGAGTTGTTAAAGAAATCTAATCTAGGTGACTACTGTTGTGTGATAAATGATCTCCTGTGATCTCCCTCCTCACCAGAAGCTTTAATATTTTGGTGGTAGGTAAAGTTGGCTTCTGTCATGGTTTGAAATAGCCCCAAAATCCAATTCCCTTTTCTAAGCCCCCTCCCACATCTCAACCTAATGTGAGATGGGTTTTTCCAGACAAAACAAGCCATACTCAAAGTGGGGGAAAGGGAATATATTACAATGACTGTACAAATAAATACTACAATACATTATACACACGATCACAATATCTCTACTATGACATATAGTATTTACAATGATCAGATCTCTTCTCCCCTCCAAATAAAAGTCCAGGAGGGAAAGAAGGACAGATCCCTTCCAGTCTCTAAGCAGCATCTTCTAAGGCAGCAGGTCATCTGTCCTCTTCTCATGCACGCAGCTAATAGCTGGATTTCTCTTCAACATACACAAGGGGGTCTCCAAGCCCCTCGGCTCTCCTTCGGTCCAAGCGAAGGCCTCACCTGTGGACTGCCAGCAGGGACAAGACTCGCGTCACCACAGGTATATCACGAAATGCAGGGGCATCTTCGTGAAAGTCCCTTCCTCAGGGGTTCACCCCTGAGTCAGAACATCTTGGGCAGCATTCAGTTGCAAGCCTTTGCCTCAAGAGTTCTACCAGAGCTCCTGTGCTCTGTGTCAGGCTGCCAGGCTTGTCAGTAGCATCGGGTGGACCAAGGTCACCCCCTCTGTATTCCATCTGGCCATCCTGGTCCAGCTCTGGGACGTCTTTGAGCTTCTTAGCTCCTCTCTCTCTGGTGCTGCTGTTCTCCAAGGCTCCTCTCAAATAGGAGTCCATCTGTTCCTCCTTTCTCGGAGGTCTCAAAGGAGTTTTGGGGTCTGGTATAAGTTCTTACCCCAAGACTCTGTAGCTCTGCTGCTGGCTCTCTCTCTCTCCCTTTCCAGGAGTCCTTTCTGCGATGCTGCATGTCTCTGTTGCTTCTCCGGTTCAGGTCTTATCTGTCCTGGCTCTGTGCCACCGTTTCTCTGGTCAGTGCCGGCTGCTGCTCTGCGCCCATGGAGAAAAACATCTCCCGGCATAACTACAGACACTTAGTCCAGTCTAACACTGTTCCAAGTCTCTGTAGCCCCCAACTGGGGCTGGGGGGCCCTGGAGGCCCCGAGGGGCTCCGAGCCCCTTCCTCGTGGCTCTACAACATGGCCACCTCACTTGCAACAACCAAAACTACAACTCATCTCTTCCGGTGCTTGTGATATGTTTACATTTTTGCAGGAGCACCCATTGGGCAAAACTTCAAAACTTCCAGGGGTTTCCACCCCTTGGGGTCTACCACTTTTCAGCCTCTGGGGGAAAAACCAAGGTCCAAACCACCACAACACTCCACCCCTCACTCCTGCGAAATGTCAACATATCACAACAACTCTTCACAGTTTGTTTTGTCTGGAAAACTCTTTCTGTTACCACAAGCATCATGGCTCTTATCTTTTTCCCTCGATGGTTCGCAACCATCCTCTGCTACCATTAAAATGAACATATTTTCTCCAAGAGCCCGTGCTGTTTTCTGAGGGCATATAGTCTTATTCTTGTATGCTTTCTTCTAACATAAAAATAGCTATTGCAATTTAATGGCATAGTTTTGTCCATGGTGAGATTGTTCCTATGGTCTGCCCTTGGTCTGAGAAAAGTGGGATTTGTTTTGTTCACTTTTTCATAGCTGGGTAGTACATATTTCTTGTTCTTAACTTTCAAATTCCAGGTGAAATCAGAGTATTTTCAGAATAGTGCTGCAGTAACTCCTGTCAGCTTAGCCAAAAGCCAGTTAAAATTAAATAGAAAAAATAGTTTTGACCAAGAAACCTAAATCCTTTTTTCCCTTTTTTTTTTTTTCCCAATATACTCCTGGGACTCTCAGTGGTCAAAAGGGCCTTAGCTTTGTTGTTTTACAGTTTTCGTTTGGGATGATGTATTATCATTACTCGTTCTGTAACTGAAATTCCTAAAAGGGCTTCAGGAAGGTCTGGTTGCCTTGAAAGATAGCAGTTTAAAAAAAAAAGTTTAAAGGAACATGTGAAAGGTCGAATATTAAAGAAACCATCTCAAATTCCAAGCCAACAAAGAATGAACCAGTTGAAATGTCCTGGCTTCGGCTTTCACATGCTAATTTTGCTTCAGGAATTGAACAAATCTGCTTTCTTCTTGAAAGGCCTGTTCTGGACCAGCGGTTTTGGTCTCCTTATATCAAAGGCCTCCCCAAAAGTCGTTTGAAAGAAGCTTTCACTCCATTACCTTGCATCTGCCAGGTGCATACGAGTGGGTTTTCACGGGACTCCTGAAACAGTCACTTACTTGATTTTACACTCAGTGCAGCCTGGTGCTGATCCAGAGCAGAGTGATTGATGTTTCTGTGAGTGGAAACACTCCTCAATGAATTGCAGACCTGAAACATCGCTGTAATTGAAAGTAAGATATATTGAGGTGGCAGAGGTGGGATGGAGCAGTCAGGAAAGAAGCCTCATTTTAAAGTGCTGCCTCCAAACCACCTTTGTACTAGCAAGATTGTAACATTTGGGTTTATGGCAGCTGTTCTACTGCATGATGAAGGGCTTCTGTTTGAATTCAGGTGTCATTTCCATGCCCTTCTTGCCCAACAGAACATGTCTCGCTTCCCACATTTCAACAATATATCCAATGTACCTTGGTGGCAACTGTTATGTGGGTCCGTGTGTATTAATTCTTGTTGTGTCCATTTTGTTAGTTTGCCTTGAAACTGGAGATAGATGTTGACACTTTACTGAAACATTGATATTGTTGGCTGGTGTAGTGTGGACAAAAATGAAACAGTCAAACATTTGAGTCCAAGCTCTTTGCAAACTGACATAGCTGTCGCTGTATGTGGAGCAGAAACTAACCTGTGTAGGTACTTTTTTCTTTAACCACAGGAGATCCATCTTTAACCTGGTACTGTTACTTCAGTGTTACATTTGACACAATCTAATATCTATTGCATTTTTACTTTTCCAGAATCTGTTACAAAAGAAGCCGATGATGACAGTGATGATGATGATGATGATGAAGATGATGATGAAGATGATGATGATTCTGTAGTTAAAGAAGAAAATGGTGTATTAGTCTTGAATGATGCAAACTTTGACACCTTTACTGCGGACAAGGATACTGTGCTGCTGGAGTTCTACGCACCATGGTAGGTTCACAGTGGTACCTCCTTATGTCCAAGATGAGATGGCTGTTGAGGTCTTCTCTGCCAGGACACACTCCTAAATAGTGAACTTGAGTTGCAGTTTTAAAGATGACATAGGAGTAGCTTGCTTGCAGGAGATGCACTGGATGCTACTATAGTCCAGGGAAGCAGATGGTTCAGGTGGTGTAGAGGAACCCTTTTCCTTTTCCCTGTACCATGCAATAGCCAACAGCCTGTTCCTTCTCACAGATATGGGCCATGCTGAGGGATCCCATGCCAAGGGAAGGAGCCTTGGAGCCTTGGTTCTCCCTGCTTTGTGCCTGTCAGGGAATAGAAATGGTCCCAGTGAGCTCCAGAAAAATCATGCGGTGTGGTCTTGCAGCCGGCTATTGTCCTTGTGCTGGACCACTGGGAACTTTTGCACTTCCTCATCTAAATGGAGGGATGAAGGTGACTTCCCTAGTAGTGGAATTGCTAGAAGGTTTTCCTTTTTAAATTCACATTTCTGTCCTTGTCAGAAGGATGTGGTGTGATTAAGGACATAGCTCGTTTGTATTATCAGTTTGAGCAGTGGCTCATACATCTACCTAATGATGATAGTTCCTGCTGGCATCCCAGGACCACTAGTGTGCTCAGGGGAACTACAATGGACTTACCTGCATATAACTGAGACAAAGAATTTAGGCCAGAATGTGCCTTCTCTTGCATTCTTATGGACAAAAATAATAGGGATGGTTACTGGGGGAAAACAAGAGTAGAATATATTTTTAGTCAAGTTGTTGAGTTAACGTTGCAGCCAGAACCTCTTTTCCATATTGGTTTAGTGATACAAAGATGACTTACTCATAGCTCCTTTTCTAGTCTTTGAATAGAAGGGCGAATGTGATCTTGAGGTGGAGTTGCATTTTAACTGGTGCCATTCTTGTTACAGAGAATCCCATCCCTCCTTGTCTGTGGGTACTAATCCTGCAGCTGTAGCTCGCCTGCATGGAAACTAAACATAAAGCTTAATTTATCTGAGCAGAAGGATGTTGTGTCATCATGGACTAAACACCTCTCCTTTTTTCTACTCCCCATTCTGCCAGTTAAGAGGCTAAGGAGCCCAGGCTATCTGCCACACATTTCTTCTTTTCTTCCCCCTACATTTTCCTGGTTTCATGTTCAGCTTTTCAAGCTATATTTGGCTTTTCTTATGCTGATATCCTTTGTCACATCAGCTTTTGCAGCAGAACCCTCTGTTCTTCCCAGAAAGTTTTGCTGTGGCCAGAGAGGGAGCAGGTGCTCTGATACCATGGTGGGTGTGAGATTTCATTAGACCAACTTAACTACTGGTTCATTTTTCTCTTTAGTTCAATTTAGGGTGGTAGGTAGAGAAGATAAAACTAGATTAGGGAGAAGCTGAAGTTGAATTGAGACCGTATTTGTGGAGGCAGGAAGGAAGAAGGAGCATGGTACAAGACTTACAGTTTTGTTGTAAAAGCACTTGCTGAATTTTTTTACAATGGCTTTATAAAGCATATGGAAATACACTGCAAGTTGAATGAAAATTAGGAAAAAAACCAGCGTCAGGATTTGAACGAATTTGCTATAGTTACTTAATTTGTTAATTTGAACATTAGCTTTATCTCTCCATAATCTGAACACATAGCAAGATAGACATTTCTGTGTTGATTATGTGAACATCTGTCAGAAGGCATTCTGGAAATGCAGATCAGCAGAATATCTCTGCGAGTCCATGGTGCATTTATGTATCTACTTGTGTCTTCCTCTGACAGGTGTGGGCATTGCAAGCAGTTTGCTCCTGAGTATGAAAAGATAGCCAAAACTCTGAAGGAAAATGACCCTCCTATTCCTGTTGCCAAAATAGATGCTACTGCAGCCACTTCACTAGCAAGTCGTTTTGACGTCAGTGGCTACCCAACCATCAAAATCCTGAAAAAAGGCCAGCCTGTTGACTATGACGGTTCTAGGACGGAAGATGGTAAGTACCAGTCCTTTGGAGGTCTCTGTAAGAAAGCAAAGTAGGATATGATCTTGCTTCTTAATGTGTGACTATTTTGAAGGACTTTGGTCTCAAGTTACCTTATCTTAAGCAGAATAATACTATGAAGGCTGAAATTTTTCCTGTTTTCTCAACTGACTGCATGCTAGAGGACAGTTTTGCAGGTTGTGGGTAGTGCTGTTGCTGACGGGAGGTTTCTAGAGATATGACTTGACCAAAAGAGGAAACAGTCTCATGCCTGCTGAAGGATCAGCCAATAAACATCTGATCTATATACTGACTGTATATAAACCTGCTTGGTTTTCACTTAATTGATGTGCCCAGCTTCAGTCAGAGAGGAAATACTACCTTTTCTGTCTCTTTTGAGATGGAATTCGTGTACTACAGTGCTGCAAAGTACAGATCCGTGCTCGGTATAAGTAAGATGCAATATGGTGTGAAGAGAAGACCTTCTTGGCAATACCATCAAGGAAATAAAGCATAAAGGAGATTGACTAAGAAAGCATTCTCATGTAAGCTTGATGTGTAAGCCTCGGTCCAAAACCATGCTCGCCACTCTAATTTTAAATTCTTGTTATCATCTCTTGCATTTGGCATGCTAGTGCTATAATAATGCACACTTGCTAATTGGGTTATTGAACTGTATTTCAGCAATTGTGGCCAAAGTGAAGGAGGTCTCTGACCCCAGTTGGACCCCTCCACCCGAAGCTACTCTGGTATTGACCCAGGATAATTTTGACGATGTCGTGAATGGTGCTGACATAATCCTGGTGGAGTTCTATGCTCCATGGTAAGCAAGAAGGCAGTCACCTGTACTTGCCTAGCACATCTGGCTTGAACAGGCTTGGTGAGCCTGATTTCTGTTGTTATGCCTCTTTACACATCTTTGCCTTGTGCAGGTGTGTGTAGCTCTGGTACCTTAGTTCTAATCTGAACCTAAGATCACATTGCAAATCAATTGAAGACTAGACTAGATCTATGTCTCAGCAAGGGGTGGTGTCGAAAGCTTCACTGAAGATTCTCCTTATTTACTAATTTGGGACCATGTTGAGATACTGAAAACCAAAGATAGTTGGTCCTTGATTTAAAAATGGCCTCTGGAAATGAAACTACCTATAGTAGTGTGAGGCCAGCTTCAAGTTGGAGAGACACATATTCCTAGGCTGAAGTGTCCATAGGAGATTCAGTAATCCCATTTCTACTCTCGGCATTCTGGAAGACTTAACTCTTCCACTTCAGAGGTAGAAAGTGCCTGGCAGACTTCATGGGTTGTAAAAACTGCTCTCTGCTCTCCTTCCCTAGGTGTGGACACTGCAAAAGGCTTGCTCCAGAATACGAGAAGGCTGCTAAGGAGCTCAGCAAGCGCACGCCTCCAATTCCCTTAGCTAAGGTTGATGCCACTGCTGAAACTGAGCTTGCAAAGAAGTTTGATGTTACTGGCTACCCAACTCTCAAAATCTTCCGCAAGGGCAAACCTTATGACTACAGTGGGCCACGGGAAAAATATGGTACTGCAACTTCTGCCTTTTCTTATTTTCTGAGGGATTGACCACAAATATTTTAACATCCCTATAGGACTTGCAGGCTTGTTAACATCATAACAATAGAAGCTGGGGAAACTTGACAAATTGTGCTCTTCATAGGCCAGCAATTTAAATTTGTCTGTAGTCTTTGATATCTTATGGTGGTATATCAGCTCCTTTTAATATAAAGGAAGTTAAATACCCATGGTGAAGCAGTGGCAATAAGAGTAAATGGGCAGCCTTTAATTGTACTGGAATGCACCATAAGGACTGGCAAAATACTCAAAATACTCAATATTAAGTTCTAATAAGAGGAAAGACTTAAGACTATCCAAGTAGAACTTTGATTCGTAGCAGGTTCAGGAGACAGTGAAGTGTCTGGAATTCCATAAAGGAAGGTCACTTGCAAGATCAGCCAGCATCCATGGATCTCATGCTTGGCCACCTCTTCTGAAACTAACCTGAAGGAGAATATCCAGAACTACAGCTTTAAAAACTTAGACTGAGGTCTTGCTGATTTGGTCTTTAAGTCATTGTGGGAGGGCTGTCCCCGATGTCACATGGTGTCCGTGGGACATGTGGTACTAAACAATGTTGTACATGGAATGCCTGAACCTTTCAGTTCAATAAAAGATCTAAGCAACTTCTTGGGGGCGGGTTTGTCTCACAGGTATTGTCGACTACATGATTGAACAGGCTGGTCCTCCATCCAAACAGATTCAGGCTACCAAGCAGGTACAGGAATTTCTGAGGGATGGGGATGATGTCATCATCATTGGTGTCTTTAGTGGAGAGAATGACAAAGCCTATCAGCTCTATCAGGAAGCAGGTACAGAATGTTTTAAAATATTAATTAAATATGTTTTGTTGGGATTCTGCCTAGGACTTTGGGTGCAGAGAGATCATTTATTTGTGTTCTTAGTTCAGTAGGGGAGGTTGGAGAGGAACAAGAAGTAGATGGAGGGGTGATCTTCTACTCAAGAAAAAAGCTCACACCAGATTTTGGGGTTGTAGCTGAAGTATCAGCCAGTCACAGAAGATACTTCCTCCTGGTACTGTGTCCCTAAAAGCATGCAAACTAGGGAGGAGGGAAAATTCGTGCCTAAGGAACAAATCACAACTTCCTGGCTTAAAGCCTACGTATCTTTGCTGTCTGTTACTGCTTGTTTCATGCCTGACAGTTCCAGAGACTGGGCTTTGCCAAGTTTGGGGTGAGTGGCCTGGAGAAAGAATCATCATCCACCTCTGGATCAGTTTAGCTAGACCATTCCTGGCCACCTGTCTATGTCTGCTTCTGGAGCTGCTGTCATTTGTAGTTGGATTAGGAGCTAATTTGTTGCTCCAGCATGGAAGACTACAGAACTGTTTCCCAGACTGCCCCAAAGCAAATAGTTTGGTTAGTTGACCTATTTGGGGGGAAGCCAAGAGATATAAGACTTATAAACAAATAGCTGTTTTGCTGTATGTTTTGGAAGCTCTTCAAGGTTCTTGAGGTATGTAGAATAACTCGACAAGTTATTCTTGTTGAACAGCATTCAAATAGTGCTGCTAGAATTGTATGTATATTTACATGCTTCTCACCCTTGAATGAGAGCTTTGTCCAAGACTGGGTTGTTCTGTGTCCCTTGGAGAATAGGAAGAGAGTTTCCTTGCAGTGCAGTCTCAAGATTTCAGTTGGAGGCTGTCAGTCCACTTCTTACTGACTTTTCCTTCACCCTAACCTTAATTTTCCAGCTAACGGTTTGAGAGAAGATTATAAGTTTCATCACACCTTCAGCAACGAGATTGCAAAACTACTGAAAGCATCTCCAGGAAAACTAGTTGTCATGCAGCCAGAAAAATTTCAGTCAAAGCATGAGCCCAAGATGCACATTCTGAATCTTAAAGTGAGTAGCTGATACAGAGCTAGAAAGTTTGTGTGTGGATTGAAGGTTCTCTTTCCTTGTATTTATGATCACTTGGCATCTTCTTGTTGGAAGTACTCCCACTAGATATTTGAGGCAACTGTTTGTCCACTGAAACTGTATTGCTTTGTTCAAGAAAACTTTATGAAATTAGTCCAGATGTTGCATTTTCAAATAATAATTTTATCATTACAATATTCAGTTCAAAGGTAGAACACCAAATTATCCCTAGTGCTCAAAGATTTGGAGAGTATGGTGACAGTATTGTTTATAACATGCCCCTCTCTCTCATTCATGTATGCATCAATATTAGTTTTCAGTAGTGTGTAACAGAAATGCCTCTTAAATCTCCTTGTCTGAACCTTTCTCGCAATTTTTTTGAACAGGATTCTACAGATGGGTCAGAGATTAAAGAGCATGTGCTAAAACATGCTTTGCCTCTAGTTGGTCATCGGAAGCCTTCCAACGATGCTAAGAGATATGCTAAGCGTCCTCTAGTGGTGGTCTATTATTCTGTGGACTTCAGTTTTGACTACCGAGTTGGTAAGTTTGCTGTGATTACCATTCCTCCACTTTGAGAGGAAGCAGGCAGTAAGTAACTAGAAATTGCCAATCCCGTTGTGTGTGTTCTGGTTTTTCAGCTACCCAGTACTGGAGAGGCAAAGTCCTGGAAGTGGCCAAAGACTTTCCTGAATATGTGTTTGCTGTTTCTGATGAGGAGGATTATTCTTCTGAAATAAAAGATTTGGGCCTGCTTGAGAGCGGAGAGGACGTCAACGTTGCCATTCTGGATGAAGGTGGCAAGAAATATGCCATGGAGCCAGAAGAGTTTGACTCTGATGTACTCAGACAGTTTGTGCTGGCATTCAAAAAAGGTACAGTTTCTAAAATAGGGTTCTCTAAGCTATTTGCTCTGTTTACCCAAGAGTTTTTCCTGAGGCAATGGCTATAATAAAGTCATTTGTGCAACCTTGCAGTGTTCTGTGACTTGAAGCTTTTGGATGTTTCTTGCCTCTTTTTTTTTTTAAACTTTGGTTCATTAACTTCGTTGCTTGGACTATGCTGTGACTTCTAGCTATACTCTAAACCTGAGCATGTTATGTTTGGCAAGCCTAAAATGTTCCTGTGGCTCTGAAGTGTGAGCTGATCATTCATATTTGCGATTTCTGTAATAAATCACTAGTTAGTACCCTGTGGATGGACAGCCATAAAAAGAGGAAGAAAGGTTCTAGGGAATTACAAAACAAATTGTTAGCCATATTTCACCAGGCCATTTGGCTAAAAGGTCACCAGCAAACCAGCCTGTGTTTCAGGGGCAAGTTCATTTGCTGGTGCAGTGATTTTTTTTCCCTGGCAGGAGGATGTACTACTGCCTTTTCTTAGGGGAGATTGCAAGGGCTGCTCTTACCATATTCTAACAGTGCTGTGTGTTTTTCTTTCTTCTAGGAAAACTGAAGCCAATTGTGAAGTCCCAGCCAGTGCCAAAAAATAACAAAGGGCCTGTGAAAGTGGTAGTGGGTAAAACTTTTGATACCATAGTAATGGATCCAAAGAATGATGTTCTCATAGAGTTCTATGCCCCATGGTGTGGACACTGCAAGAAACTTGAACCAGTGTATACAGAGCTAGGCAAAAAATACAAGAATGAGAAAAATCTAGTTATAGCCAAGATGGATGCTACTGCCAACGACGTGACAAACGACCACTACAAAGTGGAAGGATTCCCCACCATCTACTTTGCTCCGAGGGACAAGAAGAACAACCCTATTAAATTTGAAGGCGGGGACAGAGATTTAGAGCATTTGAGCAAATTTATAGAGGAGCATGCAACAAAACTCTCCAGAACAAAAGAAGAGCTTTAGATAAGTTGAGGGTGGTGAAGAAAAATTGTTTGTACGTTGTAGTTAAAATCAAGTTACTGACAAAACTTCGTGAGAGAAGAGTTAAGCAGTTTGAGCAAAGAGATTCTTGAGCAGTAAAGTAATTGCAGTATCTTTTTTTTTATATATGGCAGAAGAGTTTTTTTCTGGACACTGAACTTAATACTCTAATATGAATGTCTTGTCTTAGTTATGGTTTTGATCTTTGGAGAAAAATACATCCTTTATTTTTTGTGACTATCTTGAGCTTTATTCTTTGACTCAAATGCAGCTGTTTTTAAGTTAAAAAATACTACCAAAAAGAGAGAAGCAGATTCCTCAGCCAAACAGATTTCTTTGTCTTATTTGTTGTTAGGGTTACTGGGGTGAGCAGTCTTTTCAGCCAGTCTTTTTTGTTATGTTTCTGTATACCTCTTCTTTTGACTATATCACTGTATTCATTGAGGAGGATAAGAATGGAGGTTTTCTAAAGTGTGGATGAATTATTTGGTCCTATTGAGATAAGACACAGTGACTTGCTAGCCAAATATGCCTGTCTGTTTTAGCTTTTTACCTCTCTGTAGAGAGGGTGATGCTAAAATAGAAAGTTTTTCTAATTTACTTCACTTCAGTAGTCCATATTGACCCATTTATATCTTAGTCTTCCTAAATATGTTTTGGAGTAATTGGAGTGTGGCAGAAAGAGCATTTAGTGGGTGGAAGTGCTTGGATTCTGGTATCAGACCTGTGTGTTACTGTCTCCTTTCCTTTTGCAGAGAGGAAAGTTTGATAGTGATTCTTCTTTAGAGAAGGAGACTGAGACTTTCTGATGGCCTTTATTCCTGTAGCAAGTACTGCAGGTACAAAAGATGATCACATATTCTCTGTGCTCCTCTTGGGATATATGCATTAAAAAGTGGGGTTTTATCTTGAATGTCCCACTTTAGGTATGTCCATAACTTTATGGGCTGTGTTGAGGGCACAGACTTACATACTCTAGAAGCACTGTCTGACTCTTCTCAGAGCTGTGTTGCTGCAGTGGGTGCGACTTGGGAGTCACTGAGGCAGTCTGGATACATATTTCATTTTAGAGGTAGTGCTACTCCAGCAGCACTGCTTTATGCCTTGTGAAGTATCATCAGTCTTCCTTCAGTAATTGCTTGTTTCGTTAATTTTTAGCTTTTGAAGGTCTAAAACCACCACCTGATCATTCTTTACTTCTGGGGAGATTAAAGAATCCTTCTGTGTTGCAAGGATAAAACCATGTCCAGGAGGTGGCTGTTAAGGTATTGTCTGAGTACCCAAAAGACCCTGGAAGGGGGTATGCAGTCCTTGTCTTTTCCTACTGCACTTTGCATCCCTGATGAAGGGACCTTCCCTGTTGCCTTAACAGGGGACTGTTCTCCAATGACTGTTAACAACCCACACAGCAGAGTGTGACTATCAATTATTCTTGAAGAGGTATGTGGGACTGCATGAAGGCTTTCCCTTCATTAATTGTTTAGCTGAAGCTAGTAAACAAAGCTCACCAGCGAATGATGAATGAGGGGGACAGTATCAAATCTCCAGAGAGTATTGCAGTGTGCCTGAGTGCTATTCAGCTCCTGTTGTTTATCAGCAAAAGCTGAGAAGCTAAGCAAGCAAGTGTTAGAGCAGTGTAATCATTCACTTCAGGCCCTGGCATTGTAAATCTCCTCTTTTCACATTAGAGGGCTTTTTTTTCTCTACTGTACTTAAATGTACAGGTGTCTGTTAAGCTTAGGCAGTATTTCACCTACAAGATCCTTACCAAGTGCACTGTCTTCCCAACGATTGCCCGTTTCTGTTTGCAGCTTTTCTGTAGAGCCTCCAAAGGCCATAATCTGTGATAAATGTGTTGTGCAGGCAACAGGAGGGAGATCAGACTTACCTGAGCACCAGAGGTGATTTTTTTCTGCTTTAGACAAGTAGCAAGGTCTTGTCTTCCAGTGATATCAACTCAGTTCTTCAAAGAAGTTGTCACAGGCTTTTCAGATTGGTTCTTAAAACATAGTTCAGGTTGTATCCTTAAGCAAATACCTCACAAAATGCTGCAGCAAACTAAACTGCTCCTGCTTGTAAGTTAGTTGCAGACTTTCAGGGGTTTATTCTAAAATAGATGCTACTTAATCACCAGGAGGATATGGATAAATATGGAGCATGTAGAAGGGAGAGTGAAAAGTCCTTTATTGATGGTGAAGACTACAATCAGGGCTGAAACTCCATTCTTCTTGAGTTAAAGTTGATCATGACAGTTTCTTATGTCTCTTCTTGTAGGTGGTAAATTATAAACACTGTCATTGCCAATGCTGTACTCTTTCTGTAAACTTCTTCCTCCCAGCAGGAGCTGACACTACTCTGTGTTGAAACCAACCTCTCCAGCCTGCTGGGAGGCCTTGTGGCAATAAAAGGCTCAGGGCCCAGGGGAGTGTCCAAGGTGTGCTTGCTCAGTGCTCCTGACACCTCACTGTTTCTTGCCTTCACAGGTGGAGGCAACCTGGTACATACAGAGTTACTTCAGGACTGTGCTCAAAAACCTGAATTTTGTTCTGGAGCACCAGTGCTTAAGTCAGAGCTAAATAAGGAAGAGGAATACACTAGCTGCAGTGTTGCTTACAGTTTCTTGACAGCCATAGGTGCAAAAGCAAGCAGTGTTACCCCAAATAGGTTATGGGTTTAGGTTATGAGCAGAAGAGAGAATGAGGACTTGTTCCATCCTTACACTAGTGTCACCTGGCCACATTTACTGTGAGTCCTTGACTTTGCCACACACCTTGGCATCTGCATGTCATAATAAATATATTTATCACTTCCCAGCAAGGTGAGGACGCTGTTGCCTCTCAGCTTTGGGCAGAGTCATACTGGGAGGGAAGCGAACTGCTTTCCTTAGTTCCCATATCCTACCCCTTGCTGTCTGTGCTATCCACATCACATGAACTTTCTGTGAAACTCACTGGGATGGCTACATCATAAGGACTGTTTTCTCTGTAGATAAAGTGATATTGATGTGATTGATGCCTTCTAAGGAGAAGAGCTCATACCATCTTTCAGAATTTGTTAAATGCATTATGCATGTCTGCTTTTCCCTTCCTGGTGCATTAGGATGCTTTTCTAAACATCCTAAATTCTTTAATTAAGAAGTTGCCTGAGTGCTACTGATTAGCCCTTCTACTGATTAGGTTTTCCCTTCTTATAGAAGAAAAATAAAAGTGCGTGTAGTGCAGAATAATAAGAGAGCTCCCCTCACTTACTCTTAGTCACGGCTGCATAAGCATATGGCATCATTTCTGATTATGATTCCAGGTGGAAGAAATCCTGCAGTTCATGCAGAACTGATTTGTATAATACTAACAGTTCCTGGATAGGCTCAAAGGAGCCTGGCCTGGCATAAATATCTCCTATACATGCATCCTCTAGAAAACAAATTTATTTCTATAAACTCTAGTACAGCAGTAGTCAGACTTGAGACTTCTTTGGGGCCAGTTCCTTTCCCTGAAGGGTCAAGAACTAAGGTAAGCAGCAACTGTAGCAGAGCTGGTGCTCCTTGAGGAGTGAGTTTGTCTGTACTGTCTTTGGGACAGTAAATATGACCTGGGATCCCGATACTGCATCAATTGCTAGCTTTTTTGATACTGGAGGAGATTTGTTAGCAGTAGACGGTTTGCAATCAAGTTATTACTTAGTTTCTACTCTAAGAAATTTTATACTTCAAAACTGTGAATTATAATGATGCCTGGGTATGACCTAAGATTGTCTGGTACCAAGCAAGCAAGGCACTGCAGGGCTGGAAACTACTTCACAAAGCTGATCTGTTCTTTTGTACATGAGGCTATGTGTTGAGGAAATGGGCTTCTGAAAAGCAGAACATGAATAAATGATAAAGGTTAAAGGCTTCTCTGGAAAGTAGCATTAACTGTAGCGGTCAGACTGGTATCCTTTCTTTTCTGGTAGGCAAGAGAAGTCACTGGAAGCTGTCCATGCTCCAAAAGGCTTCTTGATCACAGCCTTCATTAGTAATGGACTGGTCAGAGGGTTGAGTGTTGCAGTCTGCATGCTCAGCCCTTGGTGTGGGGTAACGGTATGCCAAGCCCTGTGCAAACAAGTGTGTAATCCACTTAGTCAAACTGGTATGGACCCTTGTATCTGTTATGCAATATGGCTTTGGTTTGCTGTACTTAAGTTGCAAAACTCCCTTTTTCGATGCAGATCAGGGATCTATGAGCAAGCCTAGCCAAAGTCTCTGAAATGCTACCGCATCTTGGCTCAGTTGTCAAGTGTTTTTGAGACTTCAGCTAGTGGTGCTGCACAGCGTGAAGTGAGGTGTTGCAGGAATTGCTGCACATCACAGCAGTGCATTTGTCAGGGGAGGGCTCTCAATGACCAACTACAAAGGGCTCCCCTTCTTTTCCTGCCTGGATCCATGGTAGGTCACATGAAGCCATGCAGCCATGGGCTGGAGAAATGTTGTTCTGCCATGCGTGAACTATTTTGATACCTGCCCAGAATCCCGCTCGTAAGTCAGCTTGTTCTCTTTCAACATCTTTGGAGGTTGCTGTGCACCGAAGCTGGTTCCTTTAGACACGCTCTGCATGCTCTCAGGCCACAGACTGATATCATGCTAGTGCTGGATTTTCTGTGAGAGCAGCTGGTTTTATATGAAGCCACTGTGCTGTAATCTGATCCTCTGCACCGTTCCCAAGTGTGTGGACAAGCTCTGTATGTACCATGAAAACTAAATTATCATGTCTTTCCAGAGGCTGGGTGAGACTGCTTGGGTCTGAAAGGACGTTACTCTTCTCCAGTTTCATTTTTTTTCATCTAGAGAGGAAGAGATCTGCTCTGTGAATTACTCTGAATCCTTACATTAGAAAGGTGGAAGTTTCAGTTTCAGAAATGCTGTTCAAATCCCAAGCTGTGTGTGGCTTGGTAAAGATAAAGGAGATAAAGCTATTTTTAGTGCAAATAAAACCCTTATCACAATCAGTAACCCAATCCTCTGAAGGATTTCCATATGCTGGGATTTTGAACAGCCAGTTGTTTCTTCATAGTGAAAGCTGACACTTATCAACCTGCTCTCAATTAATGCCTTGCTGCTTGCCTTTGTCAAAGTTACAGTGGCCTTCCTGAAATTCAGTGTGTTTTGCTTTACAATAGGAAAGAATTGTTCTTCAGTACAGCCTGGTAAAATGCTGCTCAGAATGATAAAAGCAGGGTAAAGGAAAATACTGCAGAAGGTGGTCTCAGGGGAAGAAAAAAAAAAAGTAAATGGTAACTCAATTTCAATTTGAGTCAATGAAGTCAGAGAAATCAAGGCTAGACAGGACCATTTACTCAGCTAATCTGACTGGTTTACAGATCAGACCCCAAGTTCTCAGCTGTTTGCTTTCCTTAGTCAGCCTAATAACTTGCATTTAAGCTATGGACCTGTTCCAAACAAAAGTAGGCAACAGAACCAAAGCTCCACAACTCTGCTAAGTGCTGATGCTGCACTAATACTGATTTCTAAACCACAGAATTCATTCAGGAAATGGAACTTGCCATTAGAAAGTGATACTACTGCTTTAAGTAAGGAAGGTAGTTTTGCATTCATTTGCAATGTGAAATATTTCATGTGTTACTTTTGCTGATGCCTTTGGACAGTAGACCTTAGTCATGTATTTTAATGTGGGGGGTGGCTCTTCTTTTGTGGTTTTGAGTTAGTTTTGGTCTTTTAGTGTCTTATTTATATAACGACTAAAGGATAGCAAGTAAAACTCCACTAGCTTAATTAAGCTGTAGCTCCTCCCAACCAGCAGATCTTCACAGAGGACCTAGTGACAGACAAGTGGGTAGAGCTTTGTTCAAGCTCTTTTCACTAAGCCTGAAGGAGCAGCAGTAGAGCACACAATTACAGCAGGTGCAGAGAACTGTTTAATGGTGTACTAATGAGTCCATTGAAATGTAAGTGGCCTTACTACAATCTTCCTGCCTCTTTATTTTTCTGAGAGATCACCCTTAATGTTCAATTTGGACAAACCAGCCAATCTTTAAATAGAAAAATCACACTTTAAATAAAAAAAAAGAAAAAAGGTCACAATGGGCTGTTTTTTCATTCTTTCACTTCCAAGATGCACTGCAAATATTAATGATCTCCTTGAAGCCTGCTGGTTTTCCATAGTGGCACAGCAGTGGGTGTAAGGACAGTGCTTCCTCATACTGGAAAATGTCCAAAAGAACTGGTAAGGATCAAAAAGTCTTTCTTTGATCACAGTGATACGTCAACAGCTTCAGTGGTAGGATCAAATTGGTATTTGTTTGGAATTATTTTCCTAACGATGCACCCCATTTTCCTGAGAATTGTAGGAATGCTCAACTTTTATCAGACATACAGTACTTAAACACTTCAGCCTGAAGAGATCCTGTTGAACTATGGATATATAAGGAAGAAGTCATCCTCTTGGCTGTGAAACACTGCACTTCAAAAGACCAGACCAAAGTCATTGATGGAAAACATACTGCTTGGAAAGGAAAGAGGAAATTAGGATAATATGTGAAGATCACTAAACATATGTAAATGAATAACAGGTAGTACCAGGCACTACAACTAATCACCTGTATTTGCCACTAGCAAATACAGATCAATAATTATGTGAGGGCAAGAGAACATGAGAAGACATTTGGTCCGAGACATGGATCAGCTCAGACATAGAATAAGTAGAACTGTAAATCTTGTGTTAATGTTTGGAGGGGAAAAAAATAACGTTGGCACAAAACTGGTTTGGTTTGAAGCCTTCCTCACTTTCATCTTATCAGTAGCTGAAATCGGTAACCAATTTAGGCCACACATTTTAATAGTGACAAAAGAATGAATGAACATTGCCTGACTGAACAGAAGTGTTCCTCTACTAGGCAAAGAAACTAACAGGTAAATTTAATTGCTTCAGTCACTTTGACTTCAGAGAATCCATCAAATGCATTCAAAAGTATCCTGCTGGTTTGCCACAAGAAAGGAGTGGTTATTATGTGGTTCTCTGCTATCTGTCACGTTTCCTTTCTCCTAGGTCAACTTCTCTTTCTTCTGTTAAATCAAATCCAGTGCTAACCTTTCAGAATAAGAAAGATAAATCCAGAATTATGGAGGCAACAAAGTTTTCATTGTCCCAAGTAATGATTTATTAGATCCTGTAAAATATTCAGTATCTAAAAATTAGGTGACTGATCCCTGCACTGGAATGTAGAGCCTGAATTTTGGTATCTGGGATGCACCTACAGGGGAAAAATCTTCCTGTATGGGGAGAATCAGACAAAATCCGAAACAAACATGGTGGTGAGTAACATGCATTCAAGCTCTAGCCAGCAGAAAAGGGCCTCAAAGTCACCTCTCTTTCAGACTTACGCAGATTTCTTGAGGTCACAGAAATGTGCTTGTAGTTTATTGTGATCCTCAGCATAAAACTCTGGAAAGCGGGTGAGTAACATGCTCCATTGAAGAATTTATCTTCACACAGAATGTGTGACCCTCCTCATTTTTGCAACAGTGGTTGTAGCACTTGCCTGGGGCCAAGGGGACACCTCTCTCTTCCTAAAAATGCTCAGATGTGCGTCTTTTCAGACAATGCTCTAGTTCTCTAGCCATCAGAGACAGCTAGGCTGTCCCTTACACTGCATCCATTTAGAGAACTAAAAATTTGTTAGGTTGGAGAAAAAAACAAAACTTCCCCGGATAGCTGGTGGAGAGGACCAGCTTACTGATCTCGTTCATGGGGCAGACAGGTCCTTCTCACCCAGTGCTGAGGTTGGACCTGTGTTACGCTGAAAAGGCTGCCCAAGACAGCAGGGCCAGAAGCAATGACTTGAATACTGGACCTGGCACATGGAGTTGCTGCTCCCAGCCCTCCCAGTCTGTACAGCTTGGGAGAAGCTGGAGGTGTCATCTTCTTCTCGTCCCTGCGTACACAGCAAAGCAGGTGGGGAAAAGGGTGGTTTGAGAAGTACTCTGCTCTGCTTGCTTTGGGGGAAAGGCTTCTGAAGGTAAAGGGCTTCAATGGAAATAGTTGGGGATGAGGCAAGGAACTGTGCAACTGAGGGTAAGAAAAAGAAAAAAAAACGTGTGGAGAAGAACAAAGCACCAGTGGAGGGATGAAGAAATCAAGAGGTAGGAAAAATCAAAGATGTGTGTTGTAATACAATGCTTTATCAGCTATCTCTTCTTACTTCCAAAGATGAGATATTTTTTTTAACCCTAAAAGAATGAAATCTCATTTTCTGTTTGGTTTTGGTTTGTGTGGTTTTGGTTTTTTTTTTCTCTGCAAATCTGCATTATTTCTTTATGTGCATTAAAATATGAGTTATTTCTTCATGTAGTAATTTTGAACCCTGTTGGCATCCTTCTTTTCTCCATTTATGGCAACTATTGATGCCTTAATTTGCAGACTTGAGATACACAGACAGACAAAATGGACCTTTAGAAGTGTTCCAATGTGCTCTGGAACTCCCTTTATCTGACTTGGTGTAGTTTCAAAAGTGAGGCTTTTATACTGCTTCACAAAAATACTTAGCAATACTTCTAATTGTGCTAAGTGCATTTGTATTCATAAAGAACTAGGAATTAGTTTTCAAGAACAAGTTAACTACTTCAGATATTTCCATCTTTCTCAGCAATCCTTTGGGTTTTTTTTTTCTGAGAAGAACAGACAGTTCTCTTCACATTACTTCAAAACTAAAAAAGAAAAAGTTACATTACATGTATAGTTCTTTGTGATGTCCAGTTTTTCTCCAAACCCCTTTAGCTTAAAAATGCCCTGAATTTCTCACTCTTTGGCTCTTCTGAGATGCCTGTCTTACCTGAGCCCAGATTTTGGATGATCCATCAATATTTTCATCCCATGAAACTGTTACGGCTTCTCCTAACAGACCTAGTGCTCATGGAGCACTAAACCCCCACAATTTCTGACATGTTAAACCCCTTACTTGCCATAGAGCCTGACTTGGCACCAGCACTACACTGTCGATTTGCTTCTTTCTCGTTTCTCCCCTCATGGCAAGTAAAGGGTAAAGGGGTGCAAGCCCATCAGGCGTTTTGGGTCCTGTGCTCAGCTAAAAGCAGGGCAGTGGCCACAAGAAATGCGGGGGGCCTTTGTGACTGAGCACCTCTCTGTCCTCTCCGTCACCCTGCTCTCCAGAGGGGCAGGAGTGACACGCTGGCCACTGTGCATTGCACTTGGCCATCCCAATGCTGCTGGGAGGCACAAGGTGCAGCCATTCTTATGTAGCAAGTTCTGTCTCAGAGGGTCACCTCTGCTCAGAGCACCCTGCTGTGCTTTTGGCATGTCACCGAGCTGAGCTAACCTAAATTAGCAGGTTGCTTTGGAGGCTGTAGGCAGCACCTGGCAAGCTGAACCCCCAAGAATTTGTCTGGAAGCATGGGTGCTGAGATAACAGGCACTGTGATGAATTTTTATAAATTTAAAAGTTCGTTTTTCACTTTTCTTGTTATGTGGGCTTTCCCTTGCAGTAAGTCAAACATACACTGGTAGTGGTGATGAAAATTTGCTGTGGGAGGGTCTGTTCGGGGTGCAAAAGACTAGTCAAGTGCAGTAGTGGGAAGGGGGGAAAGAGAGAACGAGGAGATCAATCTGTAACTGACTGTGAACAATCAATTGAGATACCCCACTACCTTCGGACCAGCCGATGCAATTGTATCAAGCCAAAGCAATTTATACCTCCCACGATTAAATACCTTGCAAGTTAGGGCTAGTTGTGGAGCGGCGTCCCTAGTTTCCCGTTGCCAAGGTATTCGTGTTTCTAATCCCGATAGCGCAGTGAAAGCCACGGTTGTAAGGATCCGCCTTTAAGTACAGGAAAAATCCGTCCCTTCCCACTGGGAGGCCCCGCTGCATCCCGGGAAAGCAGTATGCAAATCTGTAGTCCCGCCCCTGTTCCCAGCATCACCTCCCGCCGCCCTTCCCTTGGAACGGTGGGGGTGTGAGGAGTTTTTCCCTGAGCCTTCTAAGAGCTGGCACTTTTTTTCGTCCACATCTCCTGTCTGTGTTTTATGAAGAAAATTAAGCTTCTAGTTTCCACACACAATTACCGCTCATTTTCATCTCCTTCCTTTGGCTTGTTTTAATGGCTTCAGAAGGTGGAATTGCAAAAAATAATTCCATTTCTAACAGCTGGGGGAAAAAAGATGTCCGACTTGAAGTAAGGAGCTCCTAGGCACCCCGACGGAGGGAAGCTCCACAGTTTTCAACAAAGGTGTTTCAAAGAATGGCTTGTGTACATGCTTCAATGATTGATTGAACTGTGCTTCAGTCCAATACTGAAAACTTGTATTAGCTCACTGAGAACCTTGCTGAGCACTAGACATAGACCAAGGTGAGCAGAGTGAGCACATGGTTAGGATAAGTTGGAGACGGGACCTGCCCCACCTGCCAGA